GAAGTTCCAAAAATCAATAATATAGTACATTAGAAAGTTTCAAAATAACAACATAGTGGTGCACATGTAACACAAGTGACAAGTTCAATGCTCCATAATTTCATGTATACATGTTCCAAACAATTAAAGAAGTTCCAAAAATCAGCAACTTACCTGCGTCAGACGATCCAGAGATTGAGAACGACGGCCATCACAGATCACCTCACTTTTGTCCATCGTCCCCGGGAATCCAACTCCGTAGCACATTGCCTTGCTCAGTACAGCCTCAGATCCTATGATATCGCCAACTTCTCTTCGGACACCCTTCCAACTAAAGCAAAAGAAACTTTCCTCAATGATAAACATGGTGCAGGATTGTTTAGAGATACAGGCTGATTGAAGTTTTCATCACAGGACGAAAGTGGTTGGCAGCTCATGACTCCTCTTCTCTCCTTGAGAGAAGAATCTCGAAGCTAGGGCTGTGGGACAAAAGAATTTTGGCTGGTTCCTGTTGGAAGAGCTCCTTTATTCGTTTTCCTTGGCCGGGAGTTGTCTTCAGTTTAACTTAGAATCTTGGGCCCCCTATGGGCCAGACTATTTGTTTCATATCATAGAGGCAAGGCTTTTGTCCTCCTCTCCCTGTCTGCTTGTATTTCAACTCTAATAAAAAATGTTTAAAAAAAAATCAGCAACATAGCCAAAATACATATTTTCTAACATTTGAATTTAAACATGTTGTCTAACATAACATATTAAGGTGATTTTTTTTATTAAATTTTTGGTATTAGCCAAAGTTGACACATACATGGGGGTGGTAAGCACAATTTGCATATTTTAAGAACAATATTATAAAAACAAATATTACAAAATCATTTTTAACAAATAATTAAATCTCATAGAAAGGAATAATTCAATAACAATAAAAAGTAATAAGAAATTTATTTAAATTTTTAATCGGCAATTTGAAAACAAAAGTATGTTACTGCAACTTAATTTAAATTCCTACTTCTAGCAAAGGGAAACAAAACTATTTCAAAACCGATTATCACAAAACTATTAATAAATTAATATACAATATATATAACGGGCCGGGACGGGTACCCGGTATTTATTTTTTAATTTTGTAACCGGCCCGCATCATTACAAAACTATTTTTGCAGTTCAACCGCCACTTCTTGAAACTCTTCAATTGTCTTTATTTCACCAATTCATAGATATGTGTCTTCATTAAGAAATAGTCAAATACATATCTATTACTCCGTAATATATTAATATTAATTATTATATATGTATTATTAAATGGATATTATATATAATATAATACTTCGTATAATATATATTTATTTTTATATGCGGGTTAGCGGGTGGATGGATGGAGCGGGTGACGGGTCGGGTGATAGATTGGATGAGTGTTCATCCACATCCGATCCAACCCGTCTTTCAATCCACCCGTCAACCATTTTTCACTCATACTTTTTCGGGTTTTCGTCCATATTTTCGGTTCGGGTTGACCGGATATCCGCGGGTGCGGGTTATATTGCCAGCCCTATCAAAAAGTGATGCACTTTTGTGTTAGTCAAATTCACTTTTTCTCCATAGCGATGGAAATGCATCACTTTGTTTTTCAAAAGAAGTTCCTGATAATTACACTTTTGCCACCTCATTTTGCACTTACAAATTGATTTGATCCACTTATTTTTCATATACGGTTACTTCTCATTTTCATATAAGGAGTACCTTGTATTTGAACCTACCTCTATGTGCGTATACACACACTGACACACGTGTGTATAATTAATAATAATTAATAAAATTTATGATAATCATTAGATAGATTTTAAAAGTGAGAAAGCGGTGTAGGGAGCCTAAGACTCGTTGTTTTTTGACTTGGGAATATGGTGAAATAAAGTAAAATGACCCACTAAACTGTTTGTACTCCTTTGTTATGAAGCAGCAGCCAGTTCATGGAATTTTTGACGTGATTTTTACTTTGGATAATCCGAAAACAATCTATTTGTGCTTTAGTACAGGGTAAGGTTTCTTACATTTGACCCCCTTACCCCCACTGTAGGTTAGAGAGCCTTTGTGACTGTCCAAAAGGTTCTTCCCAACATATATAGGGGAGGAGGGGTCTTTGTATTAATCATGCACTAATACCACAGTTATTGTGGTAAAACCGCCCGTTAAACACGTCTTAATGACTTGGAACGTTACATGCCATTAACCACACAATTAAACCATGTATTGATCACGTATTGCAGTTTTAGATTGTTAAACAACATTCGAAACACTTGCAGTTCAAAGGAGAAATTAAAACATCCATTAACCGATGATAGTTCTACGTTTAGTTCTATCTTCAAAATATTCCAATTTTCCAGCTCAACAAGTGATGAACTTCAAGAATCAATTTCTAATTCACTGGTTATCCGTTTTGAATGTGCCATATATCGATTTGAACCCCTTACCGAGGAGGAGGATATATATGTTGATAATATGATTGTTAGGAAAAGGTGGTTTTATTTTACATAAAAATAAGAAATTAAAAATAGCCCAATAAACTAGACTTCAAAGTTTGTGCAAAGCCCAATGTCCTTAAAATCAATTTGATGCCTCCCACAATGCTAAGAGTGTTGTAGCGTCAGTTTCCCATAACACGATGGCTGACAAGCAACCATATTGCACACTTAATAAGTTGCTTGAGTGTATTGGAACAAAGGGTAGAACAGAGAACAATTGGCAGAGTTTTCATTAGAGTGAACAATGTCGTAGTGGTGTGCTGTATTCAAGTATGTGACTGTCCAAAAGGTTCTGCCCACGTGTAAAATAGGGGAGGAGGGGACTTTGTATTAGCCATGCACTAATACCACAGTTATTGTGGTAAAACCGCCCATTAAACGTGTCTTAATGACTTGGAACGTTACATGCCATTAACCACGCAATTAAACCATGTATTGATCACGTATTACCGTTTTAGATTGTTAAAAAACATTTGAAACACTTGCAGTTCAAAGGAGAAATTAAAACATCCATTAACTGATGATAGATCTACGTTTAGTTCTATCTTCAAAATATTCTAATTTTTCTAGCTCAACAAGTGATGAACTTCAAGAATCAATTTCTCATTCACCGATTGTCCATTTTGAATGTACCATATATCGAGTTGAACCCCTTACCGAGGGGAGCCCGAATCCACTTTGATTCGACCTAAATCGAAAGTGGATCCCACCCAAAATTTTGCGCAAAAATGGTTATTTATTACAATTTTTCCAACAATCTCCCACATGAATGAAAATTGAATTTCTCCGATACTTAAAAAGAAACGAAGATACGTAGACACGACTATGTTCACTGGATGATCCCTGCATATGGAGAGGTAGGTTTTATTCTTTGAACCTTCCGCTGTAAAGACACGTTTGTTTACTGACTGTCTCGTAGGCTCGATGTCTTTGAACTATACTGTATAGTATAAACATTGCTTTATCTTTACATTGGAACCTTCCACCTTTGTTTCATTCTCATGGGTATGCATGTTTTGCCCAAGGGTCACCTTCCCGGCTCTGTGAGAGTTTTTAAGGAACTGAGCCTCCACATTTGTCTTTTGAAACGACCTTTTTCTCTCTCACATAGGTTATTCTTTCACGAGTATCCCACATACTCTTCTAATGTTATCACGAAGATCAACATTTCAAAATCATTAGAGGAACCATTTTTTTAACGCGGAGTAGGTAAGAGTTTGAGACCCCCACAGTGACCATCATTCATTTTATAATTTAGTTGTCCCTTTTGAACCTAAGGCAAACTAGGTTGGGTATCCACTATAGAACTTTTGAATTCAATGGCTTTAGCCCAATTCTTCGTGACAACTTTTCAAACAATTCTTTATCCAATGTCTTGGTTAGCGGATCCGCTATGTTATCTTTTGACTTCACGTAGTCAACCGTGATAACACTTGTTATGTGAATATGTTTAATGGTATTATGTCTACAATGACATGTCTTGACTTACCATTATACATATTTCTTTGTAGCCTTCCAATTGCCGCTTGACAATCGCAATGTATGCAAATTGGAGGGGCATGCCTTTCCCAACTTGGAATATATCCTCAAGAAAGTGGCGTAGCCATTTAACCTCTTCGGTGCACATGTTCAAAGCTGTTATCTCAGATTCCATCGTGGATCTAGCTATTATCATTTGTTTCAAGGATTTCCATGACACGTCTGCACCTCCTAACCTGAAGACATATCCACTTGTTGACTTTGAATCCTTAATGTCTGATATCCGACTAGTGCCGCTATACCCTTCACGTACAACTGGATATCTAGCATAGTGCAGTCCAAGATTTCGGGTTTTCTTTAAATACCTCAAAACCCTTACTATTGCCTTCCATTGTTCATCACCAGGGTTACTAGTATATGTACTCAACTTGTTAACCACAAAGACAATGTCAGGCATGTTACAACTCATTGGATATGTTAAGCTTCAAATAAGAGGAAGCGGTCCAACCCAGCTGGTCGCCGACTCACTCTCCCTTACGGGAGGTCTCGGGTTCGAAACTCAATGGAGTGAGTTTCAGCCTAGATTACTCCAGGCCTCCCTCAGACGCCCCCTGGAGTAAAAAAAAAGTTAAGCTTCAAATATTTAGAGCATATTCTATTTGAGAATTACACTATTCGTGATGTTTGGACAGGTGTACATTCTTATCTAATGGTGTCTGTGCCTATTGGTCGCCATCCTTATTAAATTTCGTAAGGATGCTTTCAACGTAATGAGATTGGCTTTGCACAAGACCTTCTGGTCCCCTAATTATTTTAATCCCAAAGATTAAAGGAGGTTTGCCCCATATCCTTCATGTCAAATTTAGAACTTAACATGCTCTTGGTACATTTAATCATTAGATTATTACTACAAATGATGACACACATATACTGTGCTCTTCGCATACACACATTTGCCACTTTCGTTTATTTTAAACTCATTGATTAACATCATATGATCGAACTTTTTGTGTCACTGCTTTGGGACTTGTTTCAATCCATATAATGACTTAACGAGTTTACACACTTTCCTTACTTGGCAAGGAACAATAAATCCATCAGGTTGTTCCATATAGATTTTTTCGTCTATCTCGTCATATGGAAAAATAGTTTTTACATATATTTGATGAACTTCTAATTTTCGCAATGCAGCAATGACAAGTATCATCATAATGGAATTTATTCTCGTCACGGAAGAATATGTGTCAAAGTAGTTGTCGCCCTCACGTTGCTTGTATCATTTGATTACAAGTCTGTCTTGAACTTATTGTCGTCACGTTTCATTTTTCTCTTAAAGATCCGTTTGGAACCTAGAGGCTCACAATCCAGGGGAAGATCAACCAGTTCCCAAGTGTGATTTTGAAGAATAGAATTCACCTCACTTTTGATGGTTTCTTTCCACATTGGATATTTGGTAGATGACAAAGGTTCCGTATAAGTCCGCTGTTCATTTTCTATCAAACACATTAGAAAATTCAGTTCATTTTCTACCATACATGTTAGAATATTCGAATCAAATTCTACTAAGTAGGTCAGAAAATCCGGACCGAAAGATTTTTCAACTCTAGCACGTTTTCTACGTTCGGGCTCAGGTTCATCTCCGGACCCATCACTTGTATTATCCATAGCCACTTTGTTTTGACGTACTAGGTCCTTCATTTGACCTACAAGGAAGTACATCTTCAAAAAGTGATGTATTTCTCGATTCAGTAATCGTAATTTTATGTAAATCCGGGTTATTGGACTCGTACACTAAAAACCAATAAGCACTACTATTATGTGCATAATCAATAAAAAATAGTTCACCGTTTTTGGACTTATTTTAATTTTCTTTGGTGTTGGTACAAGCACTTTTGCAAGATACCTCCAGACTTTAAATATTGATAGGATGACTTCCTACCTTTCCACAACTCGTAAGGAGTTTTATCGAGTTTTTTCTGGGGTATCTTATTTAAAAGGTAATTGCTTGACAAGACTGCTTTGCCCCACATATTTTTGTGGCATGCCTGAACTTACTAGCATTGCATTCATCATGTCGTTCAATGAGCGATTCTTTCATTCGGCAACACCGTTTGATTGAGATGAATCGGGTGCAGTACATTTGTGTACTATACACACACTTGCGCAAGAGTCACCAATTGATGCTTGATATTAACCACCTCGATCACTTCTATCCATTATAATATGTCGATTAAGTTGGTTTTCCACTCCATTGTTATAAAGAATGATTTTATCGATTGCTTCATTTTAATTTTTAGCGAGCGCTATCGTAGATAAATTGAATGTAATCAAATATTTATTACCACCACGTGTTTGGATTGATTTAAAATCACAAACCTCGCTATGGATTAGGTATTTCCGTTTTTCTTTCAATCGATTTGAAAAACTTTTTTTGTTAGTTTTGCCTCGACACAATTCCACATTTGTGTTTCTCATTAACTTTGAATTTAAGAATGTGTTCCATGTTACCTAATCTACGTATAGATTCAAAATTAGTATGTCGTAGTCTACCATACCATAAACCAGAAGACTCAACCAAGTAAGCAGAAGAGACTTTATCATCATCATCATCATCACCATCATCACCACCACCACCATCACCATCATCATCATCATCATCATCATCATCATTATCATCATCATTATTATTAGGGAAAATGGTCAAATAGGCCCTCGAACTTACATAAAAAGGTCAAATAAGCCCTTATTTAGGAGGGTCTGTCCGGACGTCGCCGTTTGGGACGGTTCCCGGTGGAATTTTTTGATGAAATTTTTTGATCATTTTATTCATTAAGTCTAGTTTACTCATAGCAAATTTCAGCTAAAACTTCAATCAGGAAGGCATTCAAATGAATTCTTGAAGATAACTGCACTTTTAACTGCGCAGTTATCTTCAAGAATTCATTTGAATGCCTCCCTGATTGAATTTTTAACTGAAATTTGGTATGAGTAAACTAGACTTAATGAATAAGATGCTCAAAAAATTGCATTAAACAATTTTATCGGGAACTAACCCAAATGGCGACGGCCGGACAAAGTCTCTTATATAAGGGCTTATTTGACCTTTTTATGTAAGTTCCCGGGGCCTATCTGACCCTTTTCCCTTATTATTATCATCATTATTTTTATCATTATTATTATTATCATCATTATTATTATCATTATTATTATTATCATCATTATTATTATCATTATTATTATTATCATTATTATTATTATTTTTCAAAAACATAATAAATTTCATAGGAAATATTCATACAAAATGATGAGGTTTAACAATGACATTAAATTCTTTCTATTGCTGGTCAAAACATTAATGTCATCTGAATTGTTTCAGTAACGAGTAAAAATGGTCTATATTAATTTAAGTTACAACATTTTGATTCTTTTCCAACCCTATGCCATGTGCCACAATTTTGATATTGACCACACCCTTTATTCTTTCTTTAGGACATGGAAGTGAAACACGTGTAGAAAATGCAATGACATTTGAGGAGTTTGTTAATTTAAAGTGGAAAATCAAATACACATAAATAAAAAAATTGTAATTTCCTTCGCACTTTCATTACTTATATGCATGTCTTTTATGTAAATTTAATTGTTTCCGGTGACTTTCTCGTAGGACCTTTTTATGTTTACTTTGAATTCTTTAATCACTTGTATGTAGGTCTTTTATGTTTGCATTTAATTTTTACCATTTATTGCAAAATGGTAAGTAAATAAATTATGAGCAATGTTACATTGTTACTCCTTATCATGAGTCGAATATGACATATGCATTGAGTTTATGTGTGTCTGGTGTGCGTATGTTGTATACTTGTATAGATAGCAATTTAGGGGTGAACAAAAAAATGAAAAATCGAAACCGACCGATATCAAAACCAAACCAACCAAAACCATAATTGGCTCAAACCAAAACCACTCAAACCGATTAACTATTGGTGGTTCAATTTATGTTTCACCTTTTGAGTTAAAAAACTCGATCGAATTGAAATCGACTGACAAAAACCGACAAAAATATGTTAAAACTGATAACATCGACCAAGATTAACCGAACCGAAACCAAACCAAAACTGATTCAACCAGTGTGGTTAGATTTACAGTTTCACCTTTTCTAAAACCAAAACCGATGAAAATTGAAACCGACGAAATCGAACCGGCGAACACCCCCTAAATAGTATATGTGCCATTTAGGCATGGCAATGGGTCAGGGCGGGGCGGACAGGGTACTACAAGACCCGGACCCAATCCTTAACTTCACTGCGTGGACCCCCCTCGCCTCACCCCATGACCCGCACGGGTCCAAACTTGTTGATCTATGACATGTCGTAACTTCATTAGCTAGTATGCATTTCTATTTGTATGAAGTTGTTACCACTTAAATCTACATAGAGTTTATCTATAAATAATTATTAAAAAATAATATATTAAATCAAAGTCATAATACTCTAAAAATTTAAAAATTAAGGAAAAAGTACTTAGACTTGAATAGTTAATCTATTTATTTTAATAATTGAATATATATAAGTTAAAATGGTATATAAAAAAGACATTGATAATTCATCGTTCATCTCATTCAAATATAAATAATACTCCGTAATATATTATTTGAACAAAGAATTTAAGGGAAAACTATCAAATAGACTCTCGTACTATACTGAAAATGGCGATTAGACTCTCGTACTTGAAAAACACTCAATTGAACTCCCAAACTCTTAAAAACCGATCAATTTAGCATTTTAGTGGGTAGGTTTTAGATTTCCGATTAACAACCCAGGTGGCGATTCACGTGGCAGCCCATGTGGATTTGTTTTTCTTTTCCTTTTTTCCCTTTCTTTTTCTTTTCCTTTTCTCTTTCTTTTTTTCCTTTCTTTTTCTCTCTAGCATTCTCTTTTCTTCTCTCTTTCTTCTCTTCTGTGCAGGCTCCCGCCCTCTTCCCAGCAGCACCGCCGGCCACCTCCCTTGTGCCACTAGTCTGAACTCACCGCCCCGCACCACAAGGATGAAATGTTACACCCCCACATCACAGTGGTAGAATTAGGAATGGACCCGGGCCGGGCCGGTTCCGGTTCCGGGCCGGGCCCGGGCGGGCTTTTTTTCGGGTTACATGGGCCCGGAACCGGCCCGGGTTGATACCGGGTCCGGGCCTAACCGGGCCGGGCCGGGCCGGGCCCGGTTCAATGTTTTTTTTTTTTTTTTTTTTTTTTTGACTTTCTTGTTATCTCCCTACCCCCCCCCCTCACCCCCACGCCCCAAACCTCCCTAAAACACCCAGCCCTACCCTAGGAAAAGAAAAAAAATTGAAAAAACCAAAAAAAAAAAAAAAAATGAACCGGGCCCGGCCCGAACCGCCCGGGCCGGTTCAACAAAAACAGGGCCCGGAACCGGCCCGCCCGACCCGCCAAAACGGGCTAAAAGCCCGGAACCGGCCAACCGGGCCCGGTCCGGTTCGGGCCCGCACAGTAGCGGGCCGGTCCGGTTCCGGGCCGGTTCGGCCCGGCCCAGTCCATCCCTAGGTAGAATAGGCAAACACGAGTACACGACCAAAGAGAAACTAAGTTCAAAGTTCAAACGAACATAATCGTTACCTTTTTGCATCAAGAAAAATGTTAAAATTGATAAAGAACGGCATTAGTTTAGATTTTTCTAAAACTACAACTGTCTAAAATTACAAATAGAATATGTAGGCAATTTTTATGATAGTAACCGTTTTGTTTATAAAAAATTATGTAGTAAAATATTTAATTAACTTTTTTTGAACGTTTATATGTGTTCCTTATTTCATTTGTATGCTATTTAAACTTTCGAAAATATCATTACAGTAGTTTTCATTATATGCATTGATCGATAATTGCAAGTAAAAAAATTAAAACTAGGACACCGAGAATCAATCAAGTAAACCGGAACCGGGCTGATCCCAGTGATCCCCAGTTAAGGTAATGATACCCTTCGGAAGCGCTAACCGTAACCAGAAGGGTCCACTCCTAGTCATACCCAGATAATGCAGAATGTCAAGATGTGCCATTAACCATTATGACAGGAAAAAGAAAAGGCTTTTAATCTTTAATTCTGACAATAGAGACCATTGAAAACACATTTTTTCTGTGGGCCTCGAATTATTTCCAGTTAGATGAGCATATCTCCAAATCCAAGAACCCTATGGAAAATAGACAGGCCAGTTGAAGTAGTATGAGTCTCTAACTTCTCTGGACATTTGATTCCACTGACAAAAACAAACAAAACCAAAAACAACAAAACAAAAAACAATTCAATTGACTGTTAATACTTCCGAGACTCCAAGGAGTTGCTAACATGCAGCTCAAAAACAGAAGTTGCACTTACTTCTTCTGAGGTTATATTTGGATTACGGAAAAAGGAAGTGGAATGAGGGAATGAAAAACATGCTACGTGAAATAGTTGTGCCTTTCTAATACGTAGTAAATATTCCTTGGAATATTTGAAGAAAATTCATATTTGATATACAAAAAAGTAAATCTTCTTTTACATGCGCTAAAATTTCTTAGTCTTTGTATAATAGAAATTCACAAAAATATAATGAGTTAGGAAGAATGTCTAAATTTAATTTATTGATTTTGATCAAGGTTTTTTATTTTCCCCACTTTATTTTTCCCCATTTTCCCCTGTATTTGCCTCCCTACTTTTTACAAGTAATTTCTGGATTCCAAACGGACCCCAAGGGCTTTTTTCATGGGGTAATTTAAGTTTGCACCCCATATTCTTGTCTAAATTGGACTTTGCACCCCATTTTTAAAACTCTTTGTTATTGCACCCCCAACCCCATATGAAAAGACAAAAAAGCCCCTCCATTAACAATTCTGTTGACCTTTAACATATTCCTGATTGAGAGCATTTTTGTCTTTTCATATGGGGTTGGGGTGCAAAAACAAAGAGTTTTAAAAACGGGGTGCAAAGTCCAATTTAGACAATAATATGGGGTGCAAACTCAAATTACCCCTTTTTTCATTTGGGGAGTTCATGTATTCATGTATAGCTTTTAATATTCACATCGCCAACCATAGAAGTGCAGACCAAATTTTAAAAATAAGAACCATCCATTGCTTACCCTCCTATCCAAAATCCCAAACAAAACAGAACCTCAAACATAGTAGATTTAGACAAAGAACAAAATTAGATGTGCGTGACACAGCATGTGTACCTTAAACTTATATGGCTGGTTCTTCTTCCGTGCTTGCTTCCAGTGGTACTGCTCAAAAAGCATTGCTTGATCATGCCAACTGTGCGGGCAGACACAAATGCACAAACCAAACATAAACATCATATTAGATAATAAATTTCGAAGGAAACGTCACTTACCATAGTTCAAAAACAGAACTTTCTCTTTAACAAGAAATGAGAAGTTGCAAAAACTAATCACATGCATAACAACCTGTCATGAATGGAAAGTTGAGCATTTCAGGGTGAAAATAAATGGGATGTAAAAATGATGTTTGATGCTACCCTCCATCTATTTGGAAAAAATGTTGTTATAGCCAATTTTTCCCAAAGTTATCGTTTAAACAAATCATACATACTCCCCCTCCGTCCCCTTTTAAATGTCCCGTTTTACCATATTGAGATGTCCTTATTTAATTGTCTCATACCTTATTTGGTAAAGTTTGTGTGGCTCAAAATCATTCTTACTTTATTCTTACTTTATCAATTAATATCAACCACACAAACTCACTTTTCTTAAAACACGTGCCACCCTCTTCCGGGACATTTAAAAGGGGTCGGAAGGAGTACTTTTAGTAATCTTCCAAAACTACCCATATTAACTCATCTTAGAGCTTCTCCATTAGGGGTATATTGTAGGAGGGTATTATCTCCAAATCCAAACCTCATGATGAGGAAATGGTAGGATCCAAAAAAATATTTGATGAAAATTATGAATAAAATGATAAAAGGGAGATAATCATTTAAAAGGAAAAATATATATTGTGTCATATAATATTAACTAATGATGTGGCATGTTGAACCCCCTCCCTAACATTGATCCACCAGTATCGATGCTCTCCGGTTAATGTTTTTGTAGCTTGAAATGTCTTATTCATGAATGTAGTCTAATTGCTTTTTATATCAAGACTAGTCAAAACTCAGGTTGTTATATGGTCTTCTCGAACCCTTTAAAGCATAAGAGCTCTTCAACCAACTTATTCATCACACACCGAGTTTTATTACAATAATGCAGTACCATGTGGCCTTAAGATATCATTTACCACAAATATTTGACTTTTTTAAAGTTGTTACTTTCTATCCATTTCTAACTCAGATCTTAGTTTTTAGGAATACGGATGGAAAACCCTCAGTGTATCAACATTTCTCAATAAATAACTAGAACACATATAAACTTGATCAAGCAGATAAATAGTTACCCATGTTCCTTCAAGCTTAAATAAATGTAACTTTTAAGATAGAGCCAAATACTGGAAAATAAATGTGCACAAGCCATAAAATAACCTTCTTTTAGAGCGCCTAGTAAAGTCAAATGAAATTCACCTCAGTTCTTTTCTTGTTCACTCTTTCAGAAGAAAAGTGTAGACAAGTCTATGAAATTAATATAACAGTTCAGAGAGCCTAGTAAATGGTATTGGAGGGAAAAGAGAAAAAAGCCCACATCCAGGCCCATGATTATATTGACAGTTGTATCTGTAGTGTAGCCTATTATATACACATGTATTCTTTTGTTTTTAATTGACTGAATGTGCTGTAAGAAAGACTTTCTGATCCAACTGAATAACAACGCAGGTTTTCCTTTTCTTCTGAAAGTCCTAGTTCTTAAATTGCAAGTTCTAGTTATTATCAGAGCCACAACAATTTCCCAGCTTTGCTGATGTTGTAGCTGGATCTGGATCCTCGCTGGAACAAGAAAAAACCAAGTCATCGCTGATCATAGAACCGAATGATACCAGCAATCAGAATTATCTACACAGAAGTGAGAGTCCAGGTTTAACTCTAGTAAATCCCCCTCTTACGGTTCCAAACTATCATTCCTGTTCAAGATCGATGAAAACGGCCCTTCTATCAAAGAACAAGTGGAGTTTCATTGAAGGGACTATATCCACCCCTTCTGTGACTGACTTGACACACAAGACATGGGAGAGATGCGATAATATGGTTTGTCCTTGGCTGGTACGCTCAATCTCCCCCTCTATCGCTCAAAGTGTTACGGAGTATATGGATTGAATTAGTGAGTGATATCTGGACTGATCTAAAAGAACGGTTCTCAAAGAGTGATGCTTTTAGATTGCCAGATTTGCTAGATGAAATGGGACTGTTAGAACAAGGAACACGAACTGGTACGGAGTATTACACACAATTGAAGGTTTTATGGGATAAAACGCGGATTTTAAGACCTTTACGGCTTTACCTGTATGTACATGTAGTCCTAGAAGCAAATGTTATGCAATGGCTAAGATAGTACAACATCATGAGAATGATTGTGTTATGAGATTCCTAAAAGGATTGAATGAAGAGTATAATGCCACTAAATGTTACAAGGACAAATGTTACACTCTACAAGGTTTCCCGACTGGATTTAAAAGCAAGGGCAAACAAGGACAAGCTGTCAAAGGTGTTGATCAAATGCAGACACTCATTTGGGGTCAAAGTTGATATCCTATTTGTACAAACAATACTCCTATGAGTACCGGCTCCCATCCACACAGGAAGGGGAACTTCACCGGTGCCTATAAAACCGATGGAGGCAAAACCATCAAATTCTGGAATGGCGGCACATTTTAAGTCTGATCAGGAACTTTTAAGCAAGTATGCTTCCTTTATAACCGTTAATGAAGTTGTTAATATATCAGTATCCTTGATTTTAGATACAGGAAACACAGATCATATTGCTTGTGATTTAAGCTTCTTTTCTCCTACAAACCTGTAGATGGTGTTCTTGTAAATTTACCAGATGGGAGCAATCAGCTTGTTAGTCATATATGAGATATTAATTTGACTCCTACTTTATGGTTAAGGGGGGTGCTAACCGTGCTATATCTACCTACTTTCAGTTTTAACCTTGTTTCAGCAAGTAAGCTCACCAAGCAATCTCGTAGTTGTTTAACTGTGTTGGATGATTGTTGTCTGATTCAAGAGATGCATGGGTGCAAGATGATTGGTATAGCTAAAGAGATAAATGACCTCTATTACCTTATGATTTCTTGCCAAGATGGAAAACACGTGAGTGAAAAGGGAGATAATAGTTTTCATGCTTTTACTTGTAATGCAATAAAATTGCAGGTGTGGCATTATAGACTAGGTCATTTAGTGGTCAATAAGTTGCATCATATCGAATGTCTAGGTTTGAATAATTGAAATAGCTTAATTATTCAAGAGTCAGAGAGGTGTATAAATACACATGTGCAGGAGGTTACAGATCCTAAAAAATAGGATCAGAACTAAATACTAGTAGGAACAGAATAACAACTAAGCTATCTTATCCCTAAAAGGCTAAGAGTACTCTAACTAATTGTACTAATTATATACAACAATATTCACGTAAATTCGCACTCCCCCTCAAGTTGGAGCATATATATAATGCATTCCCAACTTGCTAACAAGTACATCAAAAGTCGGTTTAAATAGAGCCTTAGAATATCTGCCGTTTGATCTTGTGAAGGTACGAATGGGATGCAGAATGTTCCTATGAACAAGTATTGTTGTATTTCATATACTTGATTATAAAGTGCTATACAAGAAGCTATATTTATAGCTATATTTAGAGTACTAGGGTTTCCTATACAAGATATACAAATGGGCTAAGCCCAATACTACTAGGGTTTTCACTAGGGTTTCCTATACAAGATATACAAATGGGCTAAGCCCAATACTACTAGGGTTTTCACACTCCCCCTCAAGCTGGAGCATATAAATCATATGTACCCAGCTTGTTACAAATATATCCCACTCTAGGACCTCTAAGAGACTTAGTTAAAATATCTGCAAGTTGTTCAGTTGTGTTCACATATTTCGTGATGATATGTCCACTCGTGATCTTCTCTCGAATAAAATGACAATCAACTTCAATATGTTTCGTCCTCTCATGATATACCGGATTTGATGCAATGTGCATTGCAGCTTGATTATCACACATGAGTTGAACCGGCTTTGAGTTTCCATATTTTAACTCTTGGAGGAGATGCTTCAACCATAAGATTTCACATGTAGCAAGGGCCATTGCACGATATTCTGCTTCAGCACTAGATCTGGCAACCACATCTTGCTTCTTACTTTTCCATGAAATTAAGTTTCCACCAATCAAGATGCAATATCCCGAAGTGGAACGTCTATCCATCGGACATCCAGCCCAGTCGGCATCACAGTATCCCACAATATCGTGGTGGCCTCGATCTTCAAACAACAATCCTTGCCCTGGAGTTTTCTTGATGTATCTCAAAACTGGGATAGCTGCATCCCAATGTCCAGTACATGGCTTATCAAGAAACTGACTAAGGACACTTACCGCAAATGAAATATCCGGTCTCGTGATGGTAAGATAATTCAATTTGCCGATGAGTCTTCTTTATTTTTCCTTGTTGGGCAAAAGATCTCCCTGTTCTGATAAGAGTTTAACGTTCGGATCCATTGGTGTATCCACTGGCCTGCAATCTAGCAACCCTGTTTCCTCAAGAATATCCAAGGCATACTTTCTTTGTGAGAGAGCAATTCCATTTCGAGACTGTGCGACCTCAATACCAAGGAAATATCTCAACTTTCCCAAGTCTTTTGTTTGAAATTTGCTAAAGAGATGTTGCTTGAGGAGCACAATTCCTTGATCATCGCTACCTGTAATGACAATGTCATCAACATACACAACAAGATAAATAAATTTGTTGCCAGCGGAATGTTTGTAGAATATAGAATGATCAACAACACTGCGAATCATGCCAAAGCTGCAGACAACAGCACTAAACCTCTCAAACCATGCACGTAGAGATTGCTTCAAGCCATATAATGAACGACGTAATCTGCACACCATACCAGACTCCCCCTGAGCAACAAATCCAGGTGGTTGCTCCATATAAACTTCCTCATGTAGATCGCCGTGAAGGAATGCGTTTTTAATATCCAATTGGAACAATGGCCAGCGGCTCATTGCTGCCATGGATAAAACCAAACGAACTGATGCAATCTTCGCTACAGGAGAAAAGGTGTCAGTATAATCGAAACCATATATCTGAGTATACCCTTTCGCCACAAGGCGTGCTTTAAAACGATCAATCTCCCCATCAGGCCCAACTTTAACTGTGTAAATCCACCGACATCCAACGAGTGATTTGCCCGCGGGAAGGGGGACTAAATCCCACATCCCACTAGAATGAAGAGCATCCATCTCAGTCAACATGGCTTTACACCACTCCGGGTGTGCTAGTGCCTCACGTGTGGTTTTAGGGATGCATATACGAGATAGATGGGAAATAAAAGCATAGTACGAGGTAGAGAGGCGGTGATAACTCAAAAAGTTATATATGGGATGTGGATTCACAGTAGAACGTGTACCTTTTCGGAGAGCAATGGGCAAATCATCCTGAGTATTTTCGGGTGCTGGGGTATCTGATGGTGATGATGGAGGATCCGTCGTAGGGGATTCAACTGGCGTGGCCACAGTAGGCACAATGGGAGGAGGTCGAGGACGTCGATGGTATACTTGTAATGGACGGTCTGCCATATTAGACCAATTTCGGTGCTAATCAGATGGGGAGTTAATGGGAGTCTCCAGAGGGATGGGTCAGAGATATGAGATGAAGTCCAAGCATGATGGGGTATCAACCGAAGATAATGAATAATAAGAGGACGACTCAATGAAAGTGACATCGGCTGAAATAAAATGTTTCTTAAGTAATGGAGAATAACAACGATACCCCTTCTGGAGTCGCGAATATCCAAGAAAGATACATTTTATTGACCTAGCCGACATTTTAGCTAATCCAGGTGTCGTGTCATGGACAAAACACACACACCCAAACACATGAGGTGGTAATGGAAATAAATTATGACCAGGAAACAAAATAGAATAGAGAATTTCATTATTAAGAACTGAGGAAGGCATTCTATTAATTAAATGACACGCAGTGAGCACAGCATCTGCCCACTGCCCAATACTGAGGCGGTGTATGGGAGTGTAATAATAGGGTACGAGCAGTATCAACCAAGTGTCGGTTCTTGCGCTCAGCAACCCCATTTTGTTGAGGCGTGTGAACACAAGACGATTGGTGAAGCATACCCCGTGATGTCATGCATTGATTAAAGGATGCGCCAAAAATTTCTTTAGCATTGTCACTGCGCAAAATTTTAATAGAATGACCAAACTGAGTTTGAATTTCAGCACAAAAAGTTTGAAAAATGTGAAACAATTCAAAACGCTCTTTCATTAAGAACAACCATGTGTAACGGGAAAAATCATCCACAAAAATAACAAAATAACGGAAACCTAAAGTAGAATTGACTCGATACGGACCCCATACATCTGTATGAACTAAATCAAACGGTGATGTAGCCCGTTTATTGACTCGCCTAGGAAAGGATTTACGAGGTTGTTTTCCAAGGTGACATGACTCACAATCTAAAGATGAAAGATTTGAGAAACCTGGAACCATACGTTGAAACTTTGAGAGACTAGGATGACCCAGACGGTTATGTAAGGTAATAACGGGTTCAACTGAAACACAAGCGATTGGATCAAGAGGACGGAGATGATACAGACCTTGAGATTCATGTCCGACGCCAATTGTTTTTCCCGTACAACGGTCCTGCACAATTACAGAATCAGCAGAAAATGTTACAGAACAATTAAGAGCACGTGTAATTTTGCTGACAGAGACAAGGTTAAAAGGGGTGTTTGGGACATATAAGACTGAGTCTAATGGTAAGGATGAAAATGGAAGTGCTTCCCCAATACCCGAAGCTGAAGTTTGAAGGCCATTAGCAAGAGTAATCAAAGGAAGATGTCGGTCCTTGGTAATATTGGATAAAAGATGAGGATTACCAGAAATATGGTCTGAGGCACCTGAGTCAATGATCCATGAGCATGTTGTGTTTGAAACACAAGCAGTAGACATCCCGGGTGTGGATAAAAGCATATTAGCCAACTTAAATTGCTGATATGCTGCATATTCTTCTGGTGGTAGAACAATGGGAGATGGTGGTAGCGGAGCAACATGGGCTGAGGAAGGAGGTCTCCCATGTAATTTCCAACACCTGTCTTTAGTATGACCAATTTTATGACAAAAATCACATTTGGGACGATTCCATCTTGAGTATCCGGTGTTGTTTCCTCTGTCAGAACTCATAAAAGACATTTATTTTTTAAATACTGATTTTTTTTCTTCTTCTTCCTCTTTTTTTTTTGTTTTTTTTATAGAAAAGTGAAAAGCTAACTAAATTAGCAAAACAAACGAGAAATCAAAAATAAAACCTGCTGAAGGAGCAGTAACTTCCAGGCATCAGCTGTGTGTTGACCAAGAGACTGCTGGGAAGATGAACAGTAGAAGCAAATCAGGGAGTATGAAAACCAACCTCAGTCCGGGAGAGGCGAAACAAGGCAGCCGTGGAAGCAGTGCGTACGGACGAGCGGTGGTGTGTGGATGACACCGGATCTGGGCGGCGGCGGCGCGTGTGGACGGCGGCGCGTGTAGACGGCGGCGCGTGTAGACGGCGGCGCGTGTGGCGGCGCGTGGTGAGTCGGATGCAGTACTAACCTATACCATCTTGGTCGCCGGAATCTCAGGATTCTCGGGTGGTTGGTGGTGTAGACAGCAGATGAATAGAAAGACAGAGATCTACGAAGAACGCTCAATTGCGGGCAGGGGCGGAGCCAAGGGGGGGTCAAGGGGGTCAGCCGACCCCGCTGAAAGTTTGAGAGTATAGAGCTCTGAAATACCTTCGATTTGATATATTATGGCCCCCGTAACTCATTACGAGTAAAAAGTTACGACTTCTGGAAAATCAGCACTATCTAAACGTAAAATCAGCAAAATTTGATGCATAATATTGATTATTTTCCCAAATTTTATGAATAACGTATAATTAATTCATTAGTTACGTAACATGATTCAGAAACAGAGCAAAGACAGTATATCTTATTGCTTACGAATGCTTATTTATCTAAACTACAAATGAAACATTCAATTCGAACATTGTCTAAAAACGATGTACCATTTTCATTTTGTACATAGTTGATTTTCGACCCCCCTGACCCGTTTTTCTGGCTCCGCCACTGATTGCGGGTCCAACTGCAGCGGCATGTGGCGGCGCGTGGATGAGGCGGCAGCGATGATTTTCTCGGCGGTAAGTCTGGATGTTGAGGTGAAGAGGACGGTAGGTTTATATCACTACCGAAAGCACACCATCCACGACCACTATTCACGCCGGAATTTATGGCCGGAGAGATTCTGCCCGGACTTTGTGGCCGACTGACAGATAATAACAGTAACTAATTATATTTGCGGTATTGGCTCTGATACCATGTGAACAAGTATTGTTGTATTTCATATACTTGATTATAAAGTGCTATACAAGAAGCTATATTTATAGCTATATTTAAAGTACTAGGGTTTCCTATACAAGATATACAAATGGGCTAAGCCCAATACTACTAGGGTTTTCACTAGGGTTTCCTATACAAGATATACAAATGGGCCAAGCCCAATACTACTAGGGTTTTCACAGTTCTATTCTCAAGTTTCTCAAGTTTCTCCTTTATAAAATTTTGATCTACTTCGATGTGTTTAGTTCTGTCATGCTGTACAGGATTTTGAGTTGCTTATTGCAGCTTTGTTATCACAAAACAACTTCATGGGCAGTCTGTTTTCAAGTTTTAAGTCCTTGAGTATTCTGCTGATCCACATAATTTCATAAGCTCCAGTTGCCATGGCTCTGCCAGGTGACCAAGTTTCCCCATACAAATGTGGATCTTTTGTCCGTCACTGATCCTGCATAATCAGCATCTGTAAAGGCTACAGCAGACATGTTGTCTCCTTTTTTGAATAAAAGGCCTTTTGCGTCACTGATCCTGCATGTGAATAAAAGGCTACAACCTGATGTGGATCTTTTGTCCGTCACTGATCCTGCACAATCAGTATCTGTAAAGGCTACAACAGACATGTTGTCTCCTTTTCTGAATAAAAGGCCTTTTCCTGGACATCCCTTCAAGTACCTAAGTATTCTATAAGCAGCTTCAAGATGTTCTCCAAGTGGTTTGTGCATAAATTGACTTACCACACTCACAGCAAATACTATGTTAGGACGGGTATGAGATAGATAGATTAATCGACTGATAGGTACACGGTAAAACAGGTAGTAAATTGACGGTAATCTGAGTTTTACAGGTGCGGAAATAAAAGAAAGAAATCGAAAGAAAACGAGACTCTTCGAGAGGCCTCACTCTCCCAGCCTAATTCCAACTGAATTCCAGCCTACCCTCTCCCTCTTCTACTTCAATTTATTCTTTTCCAAATGAGGCTTCCCTCAATCTATCTAATTATTTGGCCCAGCCCACTATTACATTTTATTAAAATATTTTAGCTCATAAGTCCAGGTCTCTATCATCACTCCCCCCCCTTTGACAACCACCTTGTCCTCAAGGTGGGGAGTAAGAGCAGCTATGCCATCCAGCTTCATCCTCGTGCCCCTTCCTTCCCAGTACCTCTCTGATTTCAGTTCCTTTAGCTTCGGTACTTGAACCTTTGTCATCCATTCCTCCTGGCCTTTGCTAAAACTTTCCCAAAAATCATCAAAATCTGGTAGTTATCTCCATTGAACCAAAATTTCTGTATTTCCCTGTAATGCAAAAGATTTGACTCCTCCTGCATGCTCTTGATCCTTTTCAATGACATAATACTCTTCAATGCATCCAGCAGATCTGTACCCAAATCCACTATATTCTGCATATCCGTTTTGATCAACTCTGCTGTAAAGCCACTGAGTTCCAGTAGCAGGACAGTCCATGGATATTATTCTGCCATCGATCCCATGATACACTTTCAACTTCCAATCCTCACCTTTTGATACATCTAGATCATTACCCAAAAATGAGTTGAAGAACTCCAGTGAACCTCGAGATGCATCCAGGACTATTTTGTTACCTTTGTTTGATGACTATTCTCGTATGACATGGCTGTATTTCATGAAACGTCGATCTGAGTTGTTCACTCACTTTTCTTCCTTTTGTGCTGAAATTAAAACTCAGTTTAACGTTCCTGTTCGGGTGTTAAAAGGAGACAATGCTCAAGAATATCTATCTGCTACATTTAAGTCATTTATGCTTCAACATGGCATTATTCATCAAACTTCGTGCGTTGACACACCTCCTCAAAATGGAGTTGCAGAACGAAAGAACCGACATCTGTTAGAAACTGCAAGAGCTCTTCTATTCCAAATGAATGTGCCTAAACAGTTTTGGGCAGATGCCGTGTCTACTGCATGTTTTTTGATAAATCGAATGCCATCTTCTGTTTTAAATGGTAAAGCTCCTTATCATTGCCTATTTCCAAACAAAGAGCTTTTTCCTATCCCACCTAAAATATTTGGTTGCACTTGCTTTGTTAGAGATGTTAATCCTCATCTTACAAAGTTAGATCCCAAATCATTAAAATGTATTTTCTTGGGTTATTCTCGAGTCCAAAAGGGGTATAGATGTTTTTGTCCGAGTACTGGTCGGTATCTTGTTTCTATTGATGCATCATTTCATGAAAATACACCTTTTTCATCATCTAAGGCAGATATTCATGAGAGTAATGATGATATACTCATTTACACGATGACTATTCCCGACTCCACACTTTCAACAAATATTCCACAAGTTACTGTTCCTGACCCTAGGCCTCCCGTACATTTGGTATACACCCGTCGACACAAAACACCTGATCACCCTCCACCGGCGATACCTGTGATTACTTATCATGATACTAGTTCGACTCCGATCTCATGTCCTGAACCAGTACCTGCATCTTCAGATCTTGTGTCCACATCAGAATCTGACCTCCCAATAGCACTACGTAAAGGTACACGGTCTTGTACTCATCCTATTTCTTCATTTGTGTCATACAATCAGTTATCTCCTGCTTCATGTTCTTTTATTGCTTCCATTGATTCTATTTATGTTCCCAAATCTGTCAAAGAAGCTTTGTTTCATCCTGAATGGCGGCATGCCATGGTAGAGGAAATGAATGCTTTAGATCTTAATGGTACGTGGGATTTGGTTGACTTGCCTACAGGGAAGAAATCTATTGGATGTAAGTGGGTCTTTGCTGTCAAGGTTAACCCAGACGGATCTGTTGCTCGGTTGAAAGCCCGATTAGTTGCGAAGGGTTATGCTCAAACCTATGGTGTTGATTATTCTGACACTTTTTCTCCTGTTGTTAAATTAACATCTGTCAGGTTACTTATTTCACTCGCTGCCACTCATGATTGGCACTTACATCAGTTGGACATTAAAAATGCATTTTTGCATGGTGACCTTAAAGAAGAAGTCTATATTGAGCAACCTCCGGGATTTGTTGCTCTCAGGGGGAGTACGGTAAAGTTTGTCGACTTCGCAAATCTCTTTATGGTCTGAAACAGAGTCCTCGTGCATGGTTTGGGAAATTCAGTCAATCAATTGAACAATTTGGAATGATAAAAGGCAAATCAGATCACTCTGTCTTTTACAAACAAACAGAATCAGGTGTCACATTGCTTGTGGTGTATGTTGATGATATTGTGATTACAGGGAGTGATAATGCAGGTATTTTGGCCCTTAAGAATTTTCTGCATAGTCAATTCCAGACGAAAGATCTTGGCTCTCTGAAATACTTTCTGGGAATTGAGGTAACACGAAGTAAGAAAGGCATATTTCTATCTCAACGTAAATATGTACTTGACTTACTAGCTGAGACAGGGAAATTAGGGGCAAAACCAAGTACAACACCCATGGTTCCCAACGTGCAACTCACTCAAGAAGGCACACCGTTTGAAGACCCAGAAAGATATAGAAGACTGGTTGGAAAGCTTAATTATCTCGCAATCACTCGTCCAGATATTGCCTATTCTGTGAATGTAGTGAGTCAATACATGTCATCTCCAACCATTGATCATTGGGTTGCAGTACAACACATATTATGTTACTTAAAGGGTGCACCAGGACGAGGTATTGTTTATCAAAACCATGATCACATGAGAATAGAATGGTTTGCAGATGCTGATTGGGCCGGTTCTAAAGATGATCGAAGATCTACATCTGGTTATTGTGTCTTTGTTGGTGGTAATCTTGTATCTTGGAAGAGTAAGAAGCAGAATGTGGTTTCTCGTTCGAATGCCGAATCAGAATATCGAGCTATGGCACAATCTGCATGTGAGATCATATGGATAAGCCATTTATTGACCGAGCTCGGACTGAAGACATCAATGCCTGCTAGATTGTGGTGTGATAACCAAGCTGCTATACACATAGCAAACAATCCTGTATTTCATGAGAGAACAAAGCATATTGAGGTCGATTGTCATTTTATTCGAGAGAAGATACAAAAAGGATTGATCTCTACAGGATATGTGAAGACTGGGGAACAACTTGGAGATTTGTTCACTAAAGCACTAAATGGAATTCGAGTTGGTTATTTATGTAACAAGTTGGGCATGATAAATATCTATGCTCCAACTTGAGGGGGAGTGTGAAAGTATATTAGAATATACTTTAGAATATGCTTTAGAATATATTAGGAATATACCATATATAGTATTATTGTATAGCATCTTTTATAGGAATATTCTATCTTTGTAATCTATATTTATAGGGCCTTACCCTTCAATAAAATAGACAGAAAATCATTCTCTCCATCTTTAATATCATTCTGGTTTATATTTCAACAGTAATATTGGTTTTCCACGCCCGTGCTTGAATCCTCCTCTCTGTTGTATATATGTCTTTTACCTGATCCTCCAGTTTATGCACAATTACCTTTTCCCGTCTTTTGCTATCCAATATTGTCAGCCTCAAGACAACATAGGTAATAAAAATATTCACCCATTCATCATTATAAAGTGTTGTTGACCCCAACAGGTCCTTATACATGCTTAATGAATAGCAATTAGTGTTCTTCACAGCACAAGATTCTAACACCCCAAGGGACTGAACTTCAAGAGCGGCCTCCCTTCCATTAGTCATCATATGTACAGTTCCACATCGCTTCAGAGAGTTGCAAAAGTTTAGCCACCGAAGCTTCTTGCCAACAAGAAAATCATTTAAATAATCTCTGAGGAGGGAATGCAAGTGGGTCCTGACAAGCTCTCTGCTGGTTTCGTTGTCCAACAATGCTCTTAAAGATCCAGGAACATTCAATCTTCTGTAACTAACTTCAATATTCCCTACTCTTGTCAACCACTCCCTTTCCAGTACTATATCAGTTCCACCCGGTTCTAGTAAATAAAAATTGTGAAT